CCCAACCCAAACCTGCCCTGGCGCAGCTTGAGGCCGTTCCCTCTCATCCCATCGCTTGTTCCTGGGGAGAAGAGACCGACCCCCACCTCACTAAAATAGTTTGGGTTGGAAGGGACCTTTCAAGGCCATCCAGTCCAACCCCACTGCAATAAACAGAGACATCTTCAACCAGATCAGGTTGCTCAGAGCCCCGTCCAACCCTGGCCTTGAATGTTTCCAAGGATGGGGCATCCACAGCCTCTCTGGGCAACCCCTTCCAGTGTTTCACCACCCTCACTGCAGAAAATGTCTTCCTTCTATCTAGCCTAAATCTCCCCTCTTTTAGTTTAAAACCATTCCCCCTTGTCCTGTCCCTACAAGCCTTGGTAAAAAGCTGTCTCCATCTTTCTTATAAGCCTCCTTTAAGTATTGAAAGGCCACAGGGAGGTCTCCCTGGAGCCTCCTCTTCTCCAGGCTGAACAACCTTCTCTCTCCTTTCCTCACAGCAGAGGTGCTCCAGCCCTCTGACCATTTTTGTGGCCTCCTCTGGCCCCGCTCCAACAGCTCCATGTCCTTCCCGTGCTGGGGGCCCCAGAGCTGGACGCAGGGCTCCAGGGGGGTCTCCCCAGAGCGGAGCAGAGGGGCAGAATCCCCTCCCTCTCCCTGCTGGCCATGCTGTGGGTGAGGCAGCCTAGGAGACGGTTGGCTTTCTGGGCTGCAAGAGCACATTGCCGGCTCATGGCCAGCTTTTTGTCTACCAGTCCCCCCAAGTCCTTCTCAGCGGGGCTGCACTCAATCCCTTCATCCCCCAGCCTGTGCTGATACCGGGGATTGCCCCGACCCAGGTGCAGGACCTTGCACTTGGCCTTGTTGAACCTCATGACGTTGACACAGGCCCACCTCTCCAGCCTGTCCAGGTCCCTCTGGATGCCATCCCATCCCTCAGGCGTGTCGACTGCACCGCTCAGCTTGGTGTCATCTGCAAACGTGCTGAGGGTGCACTCGATCCCCCTGTCTGTGTCGTTGATGAAGATATTGAACAGCACTGGCCCCAGTATGGACCCCTGAGGGACACCACTCGTCACTCATCTCCATCCAGACATTGACCTGTTGACCACTGCCCTCTGGATGCGACCATCCAGCCTTATCCACCAAATCCACATCCTTCCAATTCAGAGAGAAGGATGTTGTGGGGAACCATGCCAAAGGCCTTACAGAAGTCCAGAGAGGTGACATCCGTAGCTCTTCCCTCGTCCACTGATGCAGTCACTCCATCATGGAAGGCCACTGGGTTGGTCAGGGAGGACTTGCCCTTGGTGAAGCCGTGCTGGCTGTCTGGAATCACCTCCCTGTCCTCCGTGTGCCTTAGCATAGCTTCTAGGAGGATCTGTGCCATGATCTTCCCAGGCACAGAGGTGAGGCTGACAGGTCGGGAGTTCCCAGCGTCCTCCTTTCGACCCTTTTTGAAAATGGGTGCAATATTTCCCTTTTTCCAGTCCCCAGGGAACTCCACTTGACCGCCATTACGCATTCACATAACCAGCCTGGAGAGCACTGGCCAGTTATTTTCCTGGCAGACCAGAACGGCATGGAGTTCTTTGACAAAGGAAACCCGTGTGAGCGTGACTCTCTGTGATCCCAGGCCCCGGGTGTGCCTTTTGGGGCACCCCAGGCCCCGGGTGTGCCTTTCAGGGCCCCCCAGTGCCATCTGTGTGCACCCCACCAGTGCCCGGATCCTTCGCCTTCCCCTGACGGCACCCAGAAAGCCTCGGTTCCCCTCAGAGGCACCGCCGTGCCCTTCCTTACCTCTGGCAGCACTCAGAGCCCCTCCATTCCCCACGGTCTCCGTTCACGGCTCCTCTATGACCCTGGCTGCAGGCTCTCAGCCTCCCTTTCCCCTAGGTTCATGTGCACGTCCCCTTCAGTCCCGTCCGCGGCATTCAGGTGCCCACCCTTCCCCTCCTGGGAAGCTCAGAGTCCCTTCTTTCCCTCCACCCACGCTTAGATGTTCTCCTCAATTCCCATCCCTGTGAGCTCCGATGCCCTCCCTCCACCTTGCTGGGCACTGCCCTCCCCTCCTCTCCCCTTCTTGCACGCCCGCATCTCCTCTCTTCCCGTCTGAGCTACTCAGCTCCCACACTGGGCAAGACTGGGCCGAGCTGCCTCTGCACGGTCAGTCCGAGGGGTGCTGGGGATGGGCAGCACTGTGCGGGCAGGTTGCTTTTGCGCAAGAATGGGCCAGCACACGGCATCGTTAACAGCCCGTCCTTGCCAAAGCCCTGCCAGTGAACGTCCTTGCAGGCACCGGCTGGTGACCACAGCCGGGAGCAGGCCCCCGGGTGTCTTTATTTGGCATCTCCAGGAGGAATACGGTGTATGGAAAGGCCCCATGCAGCTAAGGGCTCTGCTGCTGCAGAGGAGGCAGCGCTGTGCTCATGTCCCACGTGCTGCCGTAATGGCCTCGTGCTTTTTATCGGGGCTCTCGGAGCTCCATCTTCTTCCCCAAGCTAAAGGAGAAACCAAAAGGTGTTCAGCTGGATGTCCAGAGAAGAGGGCAGAGACCTCCTGCCCACCAGCTCTGGTCTTGGAGGCTTTCTGTGGTCTCCAAGACAAGCCCTGCCCTGCAGACCCAGGCCCATCAGCCGAGAGCTGGCAGAAGAGAGGCCAAACCCCGGAGGAACCCACCCCTGTCCCCATCCGCCCCTCTTCTGCCCGCGGACATCTCCCTGGGGCTGGAAGGCAGCTGTGACTCAGGGGCACAGCCTCAGGACCCCGCTGCTCTCCTGCCAGCCAGCTGCCAGGAACACACAGTCCTTCCCGCGTGCTGCAGTGGGAGAATGCCTCCTGTACCTGGAGCTATTTACCACTGGAACAGCTTCTGGGCCATTGCCCGCAGCCTGTTGAGCTCTACAGTCCTCCTCCACTCCTCCTGGCGGGCTCTGTATGGCTCCAGGTTTATGAGCACCTGCCTTGCTCGTGGCGACCGGAGGCTGCAACGGCAGGGACGAATTCCCTCTCGCGCCCTGCCCCGGCCCCTGTGCCCAGGCTGGGGCTGCCAAGACACCGGGCATCGGGGCTAACCCCGGGTACGCCCGTGTCAGGAGAAATCGGGTCCCTGACCCCGCAGATCAACGGTCTCTGCTGCTTGACTCTCCCCGGCCTTGCCGGGAGCGGCTGCGCACTTACTCAGGCTGTGGCGTCCCCAGCCAAGGGGCCGGTGTCTTCCCCTTCTCTGCCCAGGGATGGCAGCGAGACATCTCCTCCCCATCTCTCTTGCCCCAGGAGATGGCTTCCTCCCGTCCTGCCTGTGCTTTGGCCCTCTCCTGCCTGGTGCTTTTGAGCGAGGGGAAGCGCAGGGACAAGTCAGGCCAACGCACTTGGGGTATTTGGGACTGCCGCCTCGCCTGGGTGGGAAGAAGAGGAACACTTGGGCCCAGCTCTCAAGGGGCAAGACAGAAAGGAAGAGCCAGAAGGAGTGATGGGATGAACACGTCCGCAGGGTAGGAGGGTGTCTGTGAGGACACCCTCTCCACAGAGTCATGCTTTCCTACACGTGACATTACGTCCACCTGTAACACGTACCACCGCTGCTCCCATCTCACTGTCCAGATCAGGGAGCCTGTCTTCAGGACAGTCCGTCGCTTCGACCTCCCGGCGGACCTCCCGGCGGACCTCCCGGTGTTTCTCTGCACGGCTCCCCTCGACTGGCGGCAGCACGCTGCAAACACACCGCACGAGGAGCTTGCATGACAGCAGCAGGAGCCTGTTCTTCAGCTGCTGCTCACCGACCGACCCCGCGCAGGCAGCACAAGGCAGCGCTGCACGAGAGCTATGCCTGGGCTAAGAACCACCCTCAAGTCAAAACCAGGACGAGACAGCCATGAGCTGTGCCGCTCAGGTGTGGCTGCAGAGTCTCACCTCACAGTAGCCTCTGCCGTCCCCGCTTTTGTCCTCTTTTCTCCCGTGAGACCAAGGCCACTCGTCCGGACGGGAGAAAGGCGCCCTCGGGAGAGCAGGCGCTTGCCAGGAGGAGCCGCTGGAAGCACAAAACCGGGAAGCTCTTCACAGCTGCACCTCTGGGACGCTTCCCGTAAGACAGACACGCCATCTGGGCACGCCGGCGCTGCTAGTGCCGGGCCCGGGCTCCTCAGCCCTTGGAGTCAGGCTTCCTAGGACGGGCTCGGCCCTTTCCGACTACCACTGTTTCCCAGCCCTCCCTTTACAGGGCCACGCTGCTCCCTGAGCAGATCCTGCCCCATCGTTTCCTTGCTTGGGTCCCCATTTGGAAAAGGGGGTGAGCTGGGACGTGCTGGTCGCTTTGGAGAACCTCTCCCATTGGGGAGGTGGAGTCGTATGTGAGGAACACGCTCTCGCGACGCTACGTGACATCGTTGTGCTCTTACGGTACCTTGTCGGGCAGCCTTTTCAGGCAGTTCTTTTTCAGACACCTTATTTTTGTAGACAAACCTGCAAATAAGAAGGTGCGAGTGGTTTCAATAAGGGGCAACATAGTCCCCTGCAGCCCCCACTACAAAGCTGCTCGAGAGCTGAGCCGCTGTCAAGTCTCCGGTTTTGCAAAGCAGAAGATAGAACGAGGTGGCCATGGATATTAGGAAACGAGCGTCACCACCCTCCGTTTGAAAATGATGACATCTTGGGCTTGGTTTGTGTGGGTTTTTCTCTATCTCATTCTCACCCAAAGGAAAGGGAAGGACCAGAGGAAGCTTTATGGAAAATGGCCCCTCGCTGCCTCTCCACGCCCCACGCAGGTGGGAAGGTAAAGCAGGCCCTCTTCCCTGGGGCTCCGCCTGACGACACCCCGCTTCCCAAAGGAGAAGTGACCGTGGACTTCATGGAGAAGCGCTCCTTGGGCACAGGTACTCCGCACCAGCTTCAGGAGGAGACCAGCCCCAGTAACTTGGTCCTTGGCACCTCTGGGTGGTCGGCCCAAAGAGGGGCCGAGAAGCTGCTTGCTTGGTCGGTCCAGGGCAACAGGAGCAACCATACTCACTGTGGGAACACGAAGATCCCCCCAGGAGGCATCTGGAAAACCGCTGTTTCCGTGTGGGCTATGACCAAGGGCCTCAGGCTTGATTTCTGCAAGAAGGACAGAGACGGGGGATTGAACGTGCCCAAGGTCATGGCTCTGACTCGCTGCAAAGGACTTGGAGGGAGCACTGAAAACATGACAAACTCACTTGGAGGAAAGCATCAGCCAGGACCCCGCTCTTATCCACGTCTCGGAGCAGCTCTTCGAAGAACCTCATGACCACTCTCCTCCCTCGGCACACCAGGATGCCGAAGTTCTTGAAGACAAAGTCAAAGTCCTTGCCTTCCGTCAAGGCCCACGCAATGACTTTCATGGTCGCCTCCACGCACTTCCAGACCTTCTTCTCAGGGATGTGGAGGCGGAAGGCGGCCTCGGCGTAGATCAGCTTTGCAACTTCCAGTTCCTCTGTGAAGAAACCACCCGGTGACCAAGTCACTTGATCAGCCTTCAGCAGACTCACATCACCCTTCAGCCCATCAATGACCCATCAAGAGCCCACCAACCCTCCTCCCACCCCACCGACTCCCCATTCAGCAGCAAGCGGCCTGCCTTTGGGGGCCAGCGCCCCGTCCCCACACAGGCTGCGGTCTCCGTCAAGAAGGAGATGGAGGGAAACCCCAGCTGTGACTCAAGGGGGAAGCACAGGTCTGAAGGTCTCTTCTTACCAGGCTGTAGTCTGGTCTCATAGCGGAGCTTGTTCCACACCAGAACTGGCTTGTCCAGGTGGAACACGGGTCTCTGGACCTTCAAACTCGCCTTCTTCTTACTATGGAAGTCCTCTTCCCTGAGGTACACAGTGGCCATGCCCATTAGCCTGACAGTCTGCAAAGAAAGAAACAGAAGTTGGAATTGGATGGTAAGAGCGTGAAGACTTGGCTGGGCACACTAAGGCTTCACTGTTGGCCTGTCCACCCCTGTGGTCCCCAGGGACAAGGTGGGGCCCGTTGGAAAGCTTTGGAGAAGAGCCTTGCCCTCCAGATTGTTCCCTGCTCCCTCCTCATCACCCTCCCACCCTCTTCCCGGGGCGTGCAAGGTGAAGGACAAGCAGGACACACCACCTGGAGCTTGAGAAGGTCCGAGGAGGGACAAGCCCTGGGAAAAGCCCCGAACACTGCCCCAGGCTCTCTGCCTGGCCATTGCACCCTGCCCGCAGGGCTAGGGAAGACTCCAAAGAAGAAAGCCCGCGTTCTTTGTCTACAGCAGGGCTTGGCTTTGTCTCTCCGTTCACGCAGAAGGTGCTCTCTGGCAAAGCTGTCCACTGCGGTGTCCTTCTGGGGCATTTTTCCTGCTTTCTAAGTTGGGGGGAGGAATGAAGGGCAGGGAGAGGGGTCAGGACACATCGGGGCTGAGGGAGGACGAGGAAAGCAGCCCCACCTTGTTCAGCAGCAGCTCTTGGCGACAGCACTCCGACACGCTGTCCCAAATGTTTGCAATCTCTGGGGAAGAAGAGGAAGATGGGTCATGCTTGAAGTGACGAAGCTCACCACCTTGCCAAGCCAGCAGGTGCAGGCATCATCCTACACCACCGCCGCCTCCCCCTGAAATCACCCACGCAGGAACTGGCCCGCAGGGCTGAGTTCTGACTGTGTCCCCAGGAGAAGACCTCCTGTGCTGGGGACAGAGGTCTGCGCTTGAAATACAGACACGAGAAGGCTTTGCACAAGAACGTCCTCCCATCCACGACGGGAAGGTGTCTCCGAGTTCACAGCGATGCGTCGTGAGCACGGGGCCTTCTGGCAGCACTTACCCTCCTTTGTGAAATCCGCCAGGTGTGGAGACAGCGCATGGAGGAAGGCAGAGGAGAACCACTCCATGGCCGCAGCTCCTCTTGGCCCAGCTCCTTCACTCCTCTCCACCTCACCAAACAGCCCCGGCGCTACGGCACCGCCTGCCCCCGCCTTCTCCTCCCGGCTGCAGAGAAAAGAGCGGTGGCGAGAGCAGCCCCCACGCCTGGGCTCGTCCCTGACTCGCAGGGCAATGTGGGTTGGGGTGCCGTGGGGAGAGATAAGGCGTGCCGGTGAGGCGGGGTGTCCCATTGTGACCACGGCCCGTGTCACAGGCGGGCTGCAGGTGACCACGGCCCGTGTCACGGGGGGCTGCAGGGATCGCCTCCATCCAGGCTTCACCCTACCAGGGGAAGGGGCTGCACCGGGCATTTTGGGGAGCCGTCTCCATCCACCCACTGCCCGCTCCGCAGGGAGACCCAAAGAGTCGCGGACGAGCACCGTTGACCCTCACCGGAGCAGACACAAACACGGTGCCTCTCTTGCCAGAGAAACAAGATTAGACTTGAAGGATAAAAAAAAGTTGAAAATAAAAAAACCCTCAAAGATAATTTAAGTTTCAGGAGTCCTCGCCCCCAGGTAGCCCAGGCCGAGAACATCAGATGCAGGGGACCACGTGCTTTTGGAAGAGATTGCTCAAAATTGTTTTGAGATGGGTATGAAAAGTGGCCTGAGCAGAGAGCAAGACGACAAATTCCAAGCAAGGATCTTTAACGCTGGGTTTCGGCACGGCTACAAAAGAGCATGGCGGATTGGAAAAAAAATTTTGTTTGGAAGGGCAGTTGCAGCCAAGGAGGCTTTGACTAAACCTCAACTGATGTGTGCTCAGATCCTCTTCATTCTCCTCAGAGATCCTCTGTTCCCTCCCTTGGGAGGAGAGAACTGCTCTCTTCCCACTGGGGACCGCTCTTACCCCCGCCGTGGCCCTCTGCGCCGGTTCAGGTCCCCTCTGTCCCCCTCCAGGCACGCTCAGATGCCCTCCAGGCTGATTCATTAGTTTTGAGGACCTCTCCCCTTCCTCCAAGCACTGAGATTTCCTTGGTTCACTGTGCAAACTGTGATTCCTCTTCACCCCACGTCCTGCTGAGTATGCAGAGACCTCTTCCATCCCCGCTCATGTGCATTCAGACCCCCTCTTCCCCACGGCTCACGCTCTGATCCTTTCTGCTTCCCTCTTGGCCTACACAGATCCCCTCGCACCCCTGTTCTGCATGATCTGATTCCTTCTACCCGCCCCAAGCATCCCCACAGACCCTCCATCGCTCTTGGTAAGCGCTCAAGATCGACCCTCTTTCCTCCTCCTGGCCATGGAGGGACTGGAGCGTGGCCAGAGCAGGGCAGCGAGGCTGGGGCAGGGGCTGGAGCCCAAGGCTGGGGAGGAGCGGCTGGGGGAGCTGGGGGGGCTCAGCCTGGAGAAGAGGAGGCTGAGGGGAGCCCTCATCGCTCTCTGCAACGGCCTGAAAGGAGGCTGGAGCCGGGGGGGGGGGGGGGCTTTGGCCCCCAGGAACAACGTGCGACAGGGGGGGATTTAAAAGCCGGGGAGATGTGGTGCTGAGGGACATGGGTTAGTGGTGGCCTTGGCAGTGCTGGGTTAACGTTGGACTCGATGATCTGAAGGGTCTTTTCCAACCTTAACAATTCTGTGATTCTATGTTCAGATCCCCTCCTTCCTGCTCCACGCATGCTCCTATTCCCTTTCCCTCGTCCCCTCCATCTCCCTTCATGTGCACAGACCGAGGGGGACGGAGAAAAGCAGGCACATGGCAGGGAGCGGTCGGGATCAGAGAGCACGGAAGGGAACTTTTCCGAGTTTTATTTACAAAGCTTGTAGTTTTTGACTGGCCAAGGAATTAGGGTTCAGGGGAAGATACGCTTCACCCCACCCCTCTTCCACTTTACTGAGTTTATCTACAAATTCCAGCCTCCGGGTGGATCTGGGATCACACACACACATTTACAGTTGGGTAAGTTGGGAAAAAAAAAAAAGCTGTTGAATAATTTAGTTGAAATATATCACAGAAATCACCAGGTCCGTCCATTTGGCAATTCTCCCCCTGCAGTCCTTGTCATCCCACAGCAACAGGAGCCCAAAACCTTGCAGTCCAGCTGATATTTTACAAACGTCTTTCCCCGTTTAGAAGTTCTCGGAGCTGATGCTCTGACTCTCCTCCTGCAGCTGGGAGGCTGTGGTGTCTCCAGGCGAAGCTACGTTTAAGTACCCGATCTCAGAAGGTTGAGAGGGGGATAAGCAAAAGGATGAGTCTTGGCTTTCAGCTTCTCCTTCAGGCTTCGTGTCTTGCGCGGCCTTCAGGGTGCTGAGAGAGTCTGGCGGTTCTCGTGGTGGGAAGCTGAAAAGAAAATTTCCTCTCTTCAGTCATTCTGCAAACTATCTGACCCTCTGCCACCGGCACAACGCTCCTCCCAACGTCTCCGCGAGGCAGTGCAGGGCTACGGTCAATGCCTGTCACTTGGACGAAGGCTCCCATAGTCTTCCTCCAGTCAAGCAGCTGACAGCCCCCACCTTACCCAGAACCTGCTCTGACTTGCGACGGACTGTCCGTCACCCTCCACAGCACCCGAAGGCTGTAAGCAAGCCCGCCGCCCTGGGTCTCCAGCGAGCAGAGAGCAGAGTTGCAGGGTCTCTCCGCTTCCCCCTCGCCCGTTTTGGCAGGGATCGCGGTGGCGATCGCGGTGGTGAAACAGCTCAAGCCCCCTCCTGCCCCACAGCCTGGGACGCGGGGGACGCAGCTCCGGCAGCAGCGGTCCTCTGAGCCTCATCGCCTCTTGTGCAAAGACGCTCCTCCAAAAGCACTGCGCACCGAGCTGATTTCTAAATCCCACAGAGTTCCCCGACATATTTTGAAAATTTTACTTCTCCATCCCGCTAGTTTCATAGACTCTTTTTAATACCATTTTCCCTATTTCCTACAATTTGACACAAAACAAACAAACAAAAAGACCCTCGGAGGTGAAAGCACAGGGTGGAGCAGCCAAAACGCTGACCTTCTCCCTCACTACATGCAGAGAGGCATTCCCTGCCTCCTCCTTTTACCCCACGGTACCTGGCATGGGGAGATGGCAACACCTTACTCTGTAGTTGGCGTTCGGAGAAGTTAACGCTCTTCGAGTCCTGGAAGGAGGAACAGAGACTTTCAAAGGAGGAGGTGCAGGTCAGACCCTGAATTTCAACATACAGTTTTGGTCTGCCAAGTGCCCCCAGCTCCACGGACAGTTCTCCCCAAGACCTCCAGCCGCACAGAGGAACTAATCATAGATTTGTCCTTTGGGTCTGAATTTAAACTAAAAAAAAACCCCTACCTAGCACAGGTGAAACAAAGAGAAAGAAATAAAACACTGTGGGACACAAAACCAGCACTTTCATCCTTAACAGCTCACTTCCAACCAAACCGGGTTCCCTCCAAATTTCAACGTGTAGCAATAAACTTCCAAATCCACCTGTTTTATTTGAAGACTTGTGGAAACGCAATCTTTCACTTCCCTGGATTTTTCTCCCTTTCTCCCCCCAAAGCTCTTCATTAACTTGGTCAATCTGAACCCGAGTTTTTAGGAGAGGCATGTCGTCATTCGGTTCAATGCGGTCGATGCTATCGGTCAGCTTGGTCTGAGGTTTTTTGGCTTACAGGAGTAACATTCCCAACCACGCTGCTCTGGGTTATTTCTCCTAATTTTAGAGCTAACTTTAAAACTAAGGTCTTTTAACAACTCTAAATGGGCAAAAGAGCCAAAGTGAGATTTCTGTCCTTGGGAACACAGATCTCACCGCACAGCAGCTCGGGGATGGAGCGGTGCGGCAAGCGTATTGAGCTTGCAGCTCCCCGCAAAGTCCCTCCTCGCCGACAAAGCTGCTGCAGCCTGCCGTGCGTTTGGTGCCCCTTTCCGTCCCCGCCGAAGGATCGACTCAGCTCTTCTCCGGCACCCTCAGCTGCAGCTACAAACACCAGCCCTCACTCGCAGGAGACATCAGCTCCTGCAACCTGTGTGCTGAGACCGAGTCTCACCTCCGTGTTGGGAGCGTGGATGCTCCTCGGAGCACGCTGCGGGGCGGGCACGTGGCCGGAGAGCTGGAGTTTGCTCTCGTGCAGCCGCACGTTCTCCTCGTCCGGGATCTTCACTCTGAGCACGTCACACATACAAGGCACAAGTTATTTTCCTTCCGGCCATGCTACGTTTTCAAAGGGGTGTTTTCTTTTGCAACCTCAGACCCTTTGGCCTCCGCAGCCTTCAGCTGTATGCCGAGGGCTTTGCTGGGGAAGGGGGCTCATTACATCCCACAGCAATGAAAAGCCGCAGCACTAGTGACTGGGGTACAGTTCGGGCTTTCCTCGGGATTTCTTAAGAGAAATAGGCATAAAACTGGAGAAGTGCTGGGAAGAGGCAGGCTCCCGGGGGCATGGACATCGTTAAGTGCCTACCTGCTCTGCAGGGTGGCAATCGTAGAGCGGTTGCTCCAAGGGGTCTCCTCTTGGTCAGTTATCTTCTGGAGGAGCCGTCTTCTTTCCTGGAGTAATTTCTCATTCTCGGCAGCGATCTGTGCAATCAGCACCTTCCCCTGAGCAGCGGCGCAGAAGGAAATAACCAGCGGTTACGCTTCGCTCTTCTCTGTCCTCTGTGAGCCTTAGAGCACTTCGCCAAAGGGGTCACCACCAAGCGTGGTCACTCCTAGAAGCGATATGCTGTTTGATGTAACGTACCCCAAAAAGCGTCTTTTGAGTGACTTCCAGCAGTAATACTTCTGAGGCAAAAGAGCTCAGGGAGTTTCTGGATGGGATTTGAGGACACGGGTTCCCCCCAAGGACAAACTTGAGCCAGGAATTTCCTTTTGGCTTTTTGGTGCTACAAGGACGGGCTGGAGCCCTTGGCACTGCCAGCTGTTTCCCAGGGCAGCGCCAGTCCTGCGCACGGAGCAGGAGCAGCCCATCAGGCAGAGCTCCCCGTGCTCCAACCGCCTGGCTGTTTAGCACTGCAATCCCATTGCCTGCAAACCAGCTCTTCCTAAACCTCTTTTCCCTTTTTTTTTTTCCTAACTGCATTTCTTTTTGGAAGAAGGGATGCTCCCGCAGCCACGCTGTAGCCTGCTCCCCTGCCTTCCCTCGCGCGAGGAGCCCTTGGTGTCTTCTCTCACCTTTTCCACTTGGAGCTTTGACTCGCTGAGCTCGTTTTCAAGCTGCTTAATTCTGCTGTCCCTTTGTTTCACCTCGTGGATAAAGGTCTCTTTGGCTCTGCGGATCTTGTCTTTGTGGCGGAGCTGCATTTCATTATATTTCCTGAGGAGGCAGAGAGACGAACATCAAGCTGTGAAATGCTTTTGCGTTCTGGGTCAAGAGCAAGGCAGGAGATGTCCTGTATTTATTCAGGCTCTTCAAAGCCTGAACTGGGAGCCTCAGCCATCTACCCAGCTCCTTTTGGGTTGGTTTTTTTGTTGCAAAGGTTATATTGTTAAGTGTCAACCAAATGGAAATTGCTTGAGGGAAAGGGACCCAAAGCATTCCTAAAACTGATTCCCAGTTTTCCAAATCCTTGTGCTCACCCCTCTCAGCTCTTCATAGCAAACAGGGTTATAAAGTCACCAAAACTGGAAGTAACAGGGAAAGGGTAAATGGGAGCAAGCTGTTTATTTGTGTGGGGATACGGGTGGTTAAGGGAATTACTTGTGTATGGGGGGAAAAAGGCAGACAAAGAAAAATCCTAAACAGCGAGGGTCAGGCAAACAGGTTGCAGAAAGAGCTACTTCAGAGGGCACTTCTTAGAGCTGCGACGCTGGGGCTAAATATTTGTGTCTACCGAGACTTGTGATCCTTGCTCTTCCCCTCAAACTTGTCCCATTTAGGCAGTGCTCTTGTTTATTTTCATCCAATTGGGATAGAAGGGAAAATTATCCCAAAAAAAAGAGAAAGCTCTACCATGTAAGGGACATTTGCCCACGTTTGCTCAAAACTCGTGACAAAAAAAGCTACTGGGCTTCAAACGAGAACAAAAGGACTCTGGGGAGAAACGAGCGGGTCCACGGAGCATCTCTGCCAACGCCAGACCCTAAACAGCAGCACCCACAGCCCTCCCTAGGCACCCACTCGTTTTCTGCACCGCCTTCAGCTGCCAGGGAGAACGCGACAGCAGGCATGCGATGCGTAACGTAACCGCACGCCGGGGCGTCGGGTTAAGGCAGATCTCTCCAGGCTAAATGCCTTGAGCAGGAGAGACAAGAAAGGCTCCAGAACAGTCAAATCCAGCATCACTGCCAGGCACGTAAACAGCAATTTCTGGGTAGGTTTTTTTGTGCCTACGTATCCGCTGCTGCTCCCGCCATTACCTGACATACAGGTCCTTCTGGTTCAGGAGACGGACTCCTTCCTCGTAAAGGGCTTTGTTTTCCTCCTTCAGCAGTGAAAGTTGCTCTGCAAGCTTCTGGTTCTCCTTCTGACACTGGAGGTGCTGGAAAACATCTATTTTTTATTTGTGTGTGTGTGTCCTCAGCTGTAGGGGCCCTTCTGCCTCCTTTCAGTCTGGTCTCCAAAGCTTCTCTGTCATAAATCCTAGTGGTTCCCACTACAGATAACATCCATCCATTCTGCCCCCCAAAGCCACTGCCTCCTCCCCTTAAAGAAGGGGGAGTGTGGATTTCTGTGCTGCGGGGGGGGCCGTAGGCTTCAACACGGCAGAGAGAGGTAACGCATCCTCCCAGACAGCGGACTCTGCCGAAATTTTCCTGCAAAAAGCTCCACGCTCTGCAAGAAAAGGGGAAGAAGCCATCAAGTTCTCCTTCTGTGCCCTCAGAGCGGCATCCCCAGGAAGCCTACACAAGATGGGATGGTGTTTTTCCTCCAGCTCCTGTTTAAATCAGTGGGATCTGCAAGGGCTCAGCACCTGGCTGGGTCTGACCCCATTTCAGCAGTTCCCAGGTAGATTTCACACTGGGATGGCCCCATCTCCCCCGAGAGCTCGGCGGTCTGCTTTGGAGTCAGCCACCAGCACGGCATCCCCTCGGGTGCCGAGGACCCCTCCGTGCTGCAGCTCACCTCACGGGAGTCAGTTTTCCTCTCATCTTCTAGGACGTGCAGAGCCTTGGCCTGCAGCTCCACGTGCATCTTGGCCAGCGACGCCTCCGTCTCCCGCGACTGCAGCCGCAGCTCCTCCACCTGCTGCTCCAGGAGCTTCCTAAAAGCACGGTGGGGTGACGGTGAGACACCGACGTGGAGGCCAGCCCCTGATGCACCACCGTGAAGTCAAGGCTGGCTGTGATCTAAAAACAACATCACCCTGCTCTGCACCTGCCCCGGGCAACGCTGGGGGTAGAAAGAAATCAGTGCATCCTGGTTGTCCCCATGTCCCAGTGGCACGTGAAAGGGGGCATGATGCATCTGCAATCATCAATCCCAGCTGCACAAGAAAGGAGACTGCTGGCATCTAGAGGGTAAACCAAATTGCTGGGCTGGCAGGAGGGGCCACACGCCTTCTGAGGCAGCTGAAGTCTCCAAAAATCTTTTAAATCTCATAAAGAGGGGATCCTGCGGAGTTCTGCCAGGGACACTGGCAGATCAAAAGGAGAAATAGGAAGCGAAACCAGTGGTACAGTGACTGTGAGCCCACCAAGGGCCAGGAACAGAGCTGCAGGAGATCGCTGGCAGGCTGGCACAGCAGCGTTCGCTGGCACGCACCTGCCCTCCGCACGCAGAACGGCTCTTACCCAGCTCTGGGTACCTTTTCAGCTGCTCCTCGTGAAGTTCTTGCTGCACACGAGCTTCATTTTCTCGGGCCTCCTTCAGTTCCTCCTCCAGGAGTTTCTTGTCTGAAACACGGGCCTCTGCCAGCAGGAGCTGGTGTTGGGAATCTTTTAGCTTTTGCTGGAGTTTTGACATCTTGGATTAAAATTGGACACGGATTAAACTTCCTGAATTCATAGGCCAATATCTAAGGGATTCAGATCCCTTTGATCCCACAGTATGCAAGTCACGGGAATGAAAGATTTGCTTGCTTCTACTCAAAAGTACTTCTGCATGTCTTTGTGTCAAAGTCCATTAAAAGTAAAGCCTTTCCAACAGCTACCAGATTTTGGATCAGATACTATGACATTAGCAACAATCCTTTTTGCACCTAATTTGATCTTGCACTTCAAAACCAAATCCAACGATTAGAGCAGGAACATGGCAGAACCGATGCCACGGAAAACACAAGCTTTTGCAATTTACCCGACAGCAAACAGCAGCAAAGCTCCTTGGCAAGAACGGGAGCTGGGCTCCCTGCGCCTGCCAGCCCTACCACCACAGTATTCTCGGAGATATTGAGCTTTAGAGACGGGAGCTGAGCCATCAGATTTGGCTCCTGTTGTCTTGATTATGCTCCCACTAACAGCAGACATTTTTCCTAAAATATTCAGCCAAGTGCTCTCAGAGTGGACTAGCAAAATGGACTTCAGGGAACTGATTCATGAGGCGCTAGTTCTTCTTTTTTCTGAACTACAGCCGCGCGAAACTGCTACAAACACACCTCCTGTTCACTTAGCTCACGCTGACTAGTTACCTTTTTTTGTGCTTCGCATACTTTGGATTTCTCCTGTGCAAGTTTCTCTTGCAGACTGCTCTGCAGTTTATCAGCCTGGGAGCACTTCAAGAGCTCTTGTTCGAGTTCTTTGACCTTCTGCTGGCTTTTTTCCCACTGTGCTGAGAGAGAGGAGCATGTTTCAGTTGTGTCCGAGAGTTTTGCCCGGGCTTGCTTCAGCTCAGCTTTGACCTGAGTTTCAAAAGAAGAAGAAATCAAGTTTGCACTTCAACGTATATCATCTGAAATGGCTTGATTAGGAAAGGGGCAACAGGATTACCAGAGAGTGAACAAGAATAAAGAAGAAATACAGGGAGCAAGTACAGCACACGCAAAGTTTTATCTGGAGGCAGTGCAATTTCCATGGAGCTGAGACAGAGCGTGCTTGAGAGCCCCAGGTACCGTGCGGTCAAATGTAAATGAGGTCCAGTCTGTTGAAACCAGCACCTCAGACCCCTCATAGCTTGTAAAATGACGTGATGCTGTCTTCAAACAGTTCTCCCTGCTCTGTTCCTACCTTGGTGCATTCCTGTTGGAGCAAGAGGTTTTGCTTTTGTAAGTCGACGTTCTTCTCCCTTTCGTATCTCAGCTCCCTCTCGGCCGAGCTGCACAAGTTCTGAACGCGACGCAGGTCCTGCCGCAATTGCCGCATTTTTTCCTCCTGCTGCTGGAATCTCTCGTCAGACAGACTCTGCAGAAACAGTAAAACAACAAAGGTTACGTGGAAGTTAACTTCAAGGAAAGATGACGACTGGTAATTAAGAAAGGTAGAAGTATCCCAGTAGGATTTAAGGGCATTTAAGTAGGAAGATGGGTAAAGCCGGGCAAGCGTTTCTTCTGCCCCCACGCTATGTCCTGCTCCCTGCCCTGTCCATCCCCTTGGAGAAGCTCGCACAACTCCTGAGGCCGAGGGAAAAGATGCAATAACCTGGATGAGGGAACAAATCCCGGTTAAAACTAACCTGTCAAACAGAAGCACCACCACCCAGGTTACTCTTAACTCTCGTGCCAGAGTCTCACTAAGGCAACTACGCAGGAGCGGCACATCCAGCCGCAGCTCCCAGAGGCAGCAGGACCAGAGCGAGTCCGGGCAGCGGTACGGGAACAGACACGCTGGCACGATGCAACAGCAGCCTGGACACCGTGAGGTGGTCGCTGACGGTCTGTGATGGCTTTCAGAAGATAACGGAGCTCTTTGGTTCACCCATCTTCTTCCAAGTGCCTTGTACACAGCCCAGAAATTCTTCCCGTGTTTGGTGTACCAAAACCCTGCTTCCCCGCATCACTTTCAGCCATCTGTCGATCTGCATTCCCGCTTTGTGTCTTCACCCTCTGGTCTTGGGACCAGATGAAATCCACTGAAGATCGAGCTTCCCTTCTCAGATAAATCCCCAGATAAATTCCCAAGCTGGGAAGTCTTGCTCCGGCACTGTGGGATCTGGCAATGTCATTTGCCCTTGAGATCACTTAGGTTTTGTGGGGTTTTTCCCCACCTGCTTCTATCAGGATCCTTTTCAGCATCCCCTCTACACCTTGTATCTTGCTTCGGTCTGCTCTGGCTGTACAGACGTGCTGCTTCTTGGTATCAGCATGACTCTGATCCTCTCCTTTCCACTCCCACTCCTGCCTACAGGCCACCCTGTCCTCTCTTCTCTTCCAAACTCTTGCATATAATCCTTAGGCCTTCTCAGAGTCCCTGTCCTGGGTACCTTCATCATTTCTTCCCCTCTTGGCAGGGCTAGCTGCTCTTCCCCTTCTTTTTTTATATCGCACGGTAAGAAAGGTGAACAAATTGCATTTAAAACACAGCTAAACCTAGAGACAAATAGGGGTCTTGCCTATTGGAGAGCAGTACCTGAGACACGGGCACAGGGCCGCAGCAAAACCCAGCTGCTCGTGAGGATGAGTTCAAGCACGGGAGTGCGAGAGCAGAAAATGCCAAGGAGGAGCAGGGAAGAGGAACAGCTTCTGCCTACAGCAAGAGCAAGACCGTTCTGGGAATAGCAAGCCACCTCTATTGCTCACGCTCCAAAAAGCAGCTGAGGAAGAGCTCCAAAAGGTTTAAAACATCATCTAAGGACTGTATAACTTCTTTCTTTCACGTGTACTAAGGGGGCCATTCAGTTTATCCAAGTTCCCACCACATCCAAAAACATAATGGAAGGAAATGATGACATTCCTAATTTCCAAACATTTTCCCCAAGCAAATCAGTCAGCCTCTCATCTCCCCCAGCATGCTAACACTACAACGCTGCAAGGACCGCTTCTGGTACACTTTAATTAGGTTTTGCCACTAAATTAGTGAACAAAAGTAGGGTGCAGATGGCAAAGCTGCCCATACCTGTTTAAAGCTCCCATCTAAACCGCCTGCAGAGCTCTGCGACACGAGAAACCTGTTCTCTCTATGCGCCATGCCTCGATTCATCCTCCAAGCCTCTTCAAGCGTGCTGTCGCCCTGCTCCCGCGTAGTCAGGATATCTTGTTTCAGCTGGGCAACTTCTTCCAGTAACAACCGTTTTTCTTCATTGCTCTCTTTTAGCTGCTTTTCTAGCTCCTCCCTCTTCTTGTTGCTTTCTAGCAATTCAGAACTTGAAGGAGAAATAGTAAAGGAGAGAGATAACTATACATATCGAAGGGAAACCACCCCCGGAAGCAGAAAAACTTGGGATACGGGAGTCCAGTGAAATGCTCAAGTGTCTCGGGAGGCTCCAAAGGGGATTTAATCCTGGGTCTGGCAGTTCTGGGCAAGGGTCAGTCTCCCCTGGACAGCGGCCCGCAAAAAAATGTGTGTCAGCTCTCAGTTCATGAGCAGGTGAACTGCTGGCGAAGGAAACGCTCGCGGGGGGCCACGCGAGCTGCTCTGCGCCCACAAGCGGCACAGAAGCACTCACACCATGCCTCGCTGGATGGAAGTGCAGGCTCAGGTCTCCCGATCAAGCTGTCTCACTTATCTCAATCCAAACTTTATGTCCCTATAAGCTAACCCACCTCTTTCGGTTTTACTTTATCTCAGTACCTAGTTATCCAGGTAACTGAGCTGACTGTAACTATACTGGATTTAATCCGAGCTTTTGCTTACTAATGAAAGCCTGAGCATGGATGCTCCAACTCCAAATTTGAATTGCTCTGCTGAAAAGGGGAGTCAGGGCACCTGTAAGAGCTTTATTTACAGCCCCAACGCCTGCCGACACCCGCCCTGCAAGGACAACCAAAATCCACAGCAGGGGGTGTATCATCGGCTGCTGGCAGCAGTGAGCCCCAAGGAGCCCCAGCCCACGATGGCAGCTTTTGGGGACCGCGTTGGTCCAAACACCACCTCGCTCCAAGAGAAGAAGCCTCCTCCCTAAGGACAGCTCTCATTTATGCCGTTCAGAATCTGCAACAGCTGCAGAAATAAAAAAGTTTACTCCTGACTGACCATGGTGTCACTAAGGGAAATGCTTATTCACCAAAATCTCTACAGAGGGATGATTACCTGATAAAGGAGACACAAAGCTGCTGTGCCCATTTTTGCCAGAAGCAGCACTATGGGGATTTTTAAAAGACTAAAAAATGAGTCAGCAAAGATAAGGAGCAGAAAGTACCACAGGCCTTGTTAAGGTTTACCAGAGCAGTTCTTGTTCATCCCTCAAGTTTTTGATCTGTTCTTCCAAAAATACTACTTTAGCCATCTGTTCTTCATACATCCTTTCGTCTGTACATAGATCTTCATCTTTCTGCTCGAGTTTGTTAATCTGTTCGCTTTCCTGTAGGATTTCAGAGACCTGTAAGGTCAGAAAACACCACGACTTTGATTTTCTTTGGTCTCGTGGAAACCTTCTCAGCAGTATAAGGCAATCTAGGGACTTCATCAAGGCATGGCGTGTGATTCCGTAGCTAAATTATTGGAGTTCTTCACCCTCGAAGACACACGTGCAAGTCCTTTTTCCTCCATGGGAAGTAGCTGTGTGTAAACTATCATCAAATCACATTTCTTTCTTTGATTTCATCCTTCTGCTGCCCATCTATAGTTCTCAGGGCTTTATATCTTGTCCCATATTTCTTTACAAAACTAGCAATTCTTGGAAAAACGGGAAGAGCACGAGTTACCTATTTAGCTGTCTCACACAGAGCGCATCCTCCATCCAACTCACCCCAAACCAACTTTCTACGGATGGCTGCTCTCCACTTTCAACGTCACCTAATGCCTTAACACCAGGCAACGGCAGACCCAAAACCTGAGACCTGAAGAGAAGATGCCAAGAAAATAAAAGGGGCAAGAAGGGGAGGCACGAGGAGTGCATGAGGACACAGGAACTCCCAGACTGGATCGGAACCAGAATCTGCCCAGTCTAATATCCCCTGCTGAGCAGCAGTGAAACCAAATCCTTCAAAGAAAAATGCTATTAAGTCCACTAAATGCTAGCAATGACTTTGATTCCTAAAGCTTTTTAATCAATAGCCCTTCCTGAGTGTATGCTAGCACTAATATTTCAATTCCAGGTCTTCTTACCTACACCAAGATGAATTTATTTATATTTGAGCGATATACACTAACAGTTTCTGCCTGCCTCAGACACCAGAACAACGGGGATTTCTTTACATTTCTCACCTCCGTATCTAACAAAGCATCATCTTTTTGTAGCTTCTCATGGGATACATTAATGAGATCCCTGCTTGCTGATGTCTTTGGAGACCTGGGAAGTTCTTACAACGGTTTGTAAACTCTGATTTTGAGTCAGGCAACCCCTGGTGAGGAACCAACAGGATGTAATACACCCCTAACTACAAGCTCAGAAAAAGCTTTCTCCTCTCAAATGTCCAAAAACCTCTTAAAAGCAAGGAGGGAGTTCCAAACAAACGCAAAGAGCTCTCTGCATAGCATCACTTCCAATATCCAATTTACTCGCCCGTTCTATGTGTTGGACGTCCTGACAAACACAACACTGAACAACCTCAAATCGTGAACCCGATGATTTCATGCCAAGCTAACTTTCCAGCACTCAGTTGGTAAATGATTCGTCCCAACACAGCCACTCTAGCAAAAGGGAACGAACCCATTTGTGAAGTCAGGCATCCCACCAAACACATGCAAAGTTCTCTGTTTTAAGGACCGTTACGGCCGTCCAGTCTAAAGCAGGTCGTTGGATTTCGTCTCGTGATCCCTTTGATGGAAAAATAGTCCTCTCCTTAGGCAAAACCACCGGCCAACTGGTGGCTGAATTACAACCAAACATACAGGGATGTATGATTTTGATTAAAAGGTCCCTGGATCGCGAGTAGATGGAATTATCGGGATACAAAGGTTAAAGAGTGACTCTTCCCGTTTTCCCCATCATCCTCCAAATCAGACAATTCCTTTTCCTATGCGTATCCATAGACTGACCTAGCCCCTTCCTAAAC